GAATTATTCTCCAGAAGTGATCCAAATCTTCCTCCTGCTGTGAAATTCTCATTGCCTTCTCTGCTCATTAAAAGAGGGTGAGAGGCTGATAAGACAAGTAGCTGCTGTGATTTTCATGATTAGGATCCTCCACCACATTAACCTCCCTCCCCCATCATCAAGCTTCAGAGGCCTTCAGTGCTTCACCTCCAAGGACCTTCCTGGCAATGAACCTCAGGCAGTCAGCAGTGACTCACTAAGTTCTTTCTAGATGGGAAAACTGCAGGCCACCCCCAGCCCAAACACGTGACCTTCCCAGGCACATCTTCTAGGTCACAGCAGGCAGATCCTTAAATATCCTCAGGGAAAGCTTTGCCTTTAGATTAAGCAGGAACACATGGAGAGCATCCCCTAAACCACCTTAGAAAAGGCCAAATCCAGAGAGGGTGGCACGGTTGCCAATGATATGGGAGCTTAGTTTCATGGCTATGTCTTATGGGTTGAATGTTTGTGTCCCCCCAAGATGTGTGTGTGTGTGTTGAAACCTTAACTCCAATGTGATGGCGTTGGGGGCTTTTGGGAGATAATTAGATTTAGATGGGGCCATGAAGATGGAACCCTTATAATGGGATTAGTGCCCTGAAAAGAGGGAACAGAGAGCTTGCTCCTTCTCTCTGCCATGTGAGGGCAAAGCAAGATGGTAACTATCTGCAAGCTAGGAAAAGGGTCCAACCACGTTGCTACTGTGATCTTGAACTTCTAGCCTCCAGAACTATAAAAAATAAATTTCTATTGTTTAAGCTACCCAGTTTGTGGTGTCTTGTTATAGCAGTCTGCACTGACAGTGATGCCAGACATGTCCCCACTCAGATGGGCTGACTTTTAGGAGAGTGTCTGTCTTCATGGTGTGGTCTCACAGTACACAACTGGATACTGTGTTGCCTTAGCAACTAGACTTGATGTGATTTTCTAGCGGCATGCTCCATTGGAAGATGTCAGGCCGTTGAGTGACACTCATCCAAAAGACAGGAAAGGTGTCCATATTCCTGTGGTATGGAGAGGCATCTGGAATAAGCTGGTGATCTTTGTGAAGCCTCCTTTTCTCTGTGCAGATAAACTGCCACATGATAGTTATCTCCATTAAATTTCCCTCTGGTAGTTATCTCCGTGAAGTTTTCTTCTGGCAAGCCTCTTCTGAGCCTTTTGTGTGAGCAACAGCTACAGGCCTAACTGTCAAAAGCGAAGGCCTAGGCTCCTGCACAACCCCCTGTCTCCACCCATACCAATGACCTAGTGTCCATAGTGCGTGTGTGTGTTGGGTTGTGTTGCTGTTCTGGCCAGTCTCGTCTTATGATCAGTGATGTCATTCTCTCTCAAGCTGGCATGTAGTTTGTGTCATCAAGGGAGTTGGGTCCACTGGCTGCGTTAACATTGTGCTCAAAGGGTTCACTGGCCCATCGAGCAGGAGGCAGTGGGAGCCCTTCCTAAAGAGGGCAGTGATTCCAGCACTGTCACTCCTGTCTCTCTTTCCCACAGACATGGTGGTGTGGTGACACGTTCCCACGTGTCTTCTAACAGACAGACCTCTTAGGCTGTGGCGAGGGGCATGTGTGAGAGTCATGACTCTTGGTTTCTTTTCTCCTGACTGACTCACTCACTGGGTGATCCTGGAGGGTTTGCTTTTCTAGGAGTCAGATTTCTATAGTGGCTGTGGAGTTAACCAAGCAGAATATGCTCAAGCTCCTGCTTTAATAGTCAGTTGTTATTTTAGAACTTGCCCTCATGAAGTAGGCTTTTAGGCACAGCATAGGGCACAGAACCACTTCAGCTGTTGTCTATACAGCTGAATTTTCATGACTAAATGATAACAAATTGGCTTTTGCCCCTGGATTTAAGAGTCAAAAATACTTTAGAAATTTTACTTTTCTAAGAGCATTAGTTTTTAAGAGAAGACCTTTTAGCTAAGCTAATTCAAGAAGATTGCCACCTTCCTCACAGAACAGTG